CCAATACACAAAAAAGGAAACAAAAAGCAATGTATTAACTACAGGGGAATAACACTCCTAAACACCACCTACAAAATCCTTGCAAACATCCTGCTAGAAAGAACCAAAACATACACAGAAGAAATCGTGGAGATTATCAATGCGGATTTAGACCGGGCCGCTCTACAATTGACCAGATATTCACAATAAAACAGATAATGGAAAAATGCTGGGAGTTTGATCGTGAGCTTCATCAGATGTTCATAGATTTTAAACAAGCATTTGATAGAGTATGTAGGGACAGACTGTGGACAGCGATGCAGGAACTTGGCTTTCCAAAAAAACTAGTCCGGTTGATACGGATGTGTATGGAACGGTCACGATGTAAGGTGAGAGTTGGACAACAATACTCGGAGACATTTGAAATAAACAATGGACTAAAACAGGGAGATGCACTTTCACCACAACTCTTCAACTTAGCTCTGGAGCACATAATCAGAAGTGCAAGAATCGAAAAACCGAATACAGTATTTCATCGAGAAGGACCAAACTTACTACTGGCATTTGCAGACGATATAGATCTAATAGGAAACACGCGATTAAGGATGAAGGAGACTTTCGTAAGGTTTGAGAAGGAAGCAGAGAAGATGGGGCTCCAAATCAACGAAAACAAGACGAAATATATGTATATGAGCCGCAATAACCAAAGCAGAGACAGAATCGGTCAGAACATTACCATCGATGACTTTAACTTTGAGCGCGTTAGAGAATTCAAGTATCTTGGAACAACAATAACTGAAGACAATAACGGATCACAAGAAATAAACAACAGGATTCAGGCCGGCAACAGATGTATTTTTGCCCTCCAAAACCTTATAAAATCAAAACAACTAACACGACGTACGAAGATACAGGTCTATAAAACAATCATACGACCCGTTGTGATGTATGGAAGCGAAACGTGGACGATAACAAAGGCAAATGAAGAGAGACTACGTGTTTGGGAAAGAAAAATCCTAAGGAAGATCTTTGGTCCGGTGCTTGATGAAGCATCAGGACAATATAGGATAAGAACTAATAAAGAGCTTGAAGAACTTTACCCAGACGCCAACATCATAAAAGAAATAAAGTCCAGAAGACTCCAATGGGCAGGACACCTCAGAAGACATTCTGACGAACGAACAGTAAGACTGGTGTGGGAAGAAGTCCCAACTGGAAGGAGACCACGCGGACGCCCTCGTCTCCGGTGGCAAGATAATATAGCAGGAGACCTAAGCACTATGGGCGTGGAGAATTGGATGGAGGTTGCTCAAGACAGAAAACAGTGGAGGCATGTTGTCGAGTCGGCTAAAAACCACGAAGGGTTGTAACGCCACGGAGTAAGTAAGTAAGTAAGTAAATATACTCGTGTATTCTTCACCAGACGTGGGCAAAGTATGGCCCGTGGGCTAAGTGAGGTCCTTCGAGATAGTTAACCCGGCCAGCGGCGTAATTTTGATTAACTAAAATAAATTACACATAGCACAAAACTTATTTTCTGTTTAGTCAGAATAGAACAACGGTTTCCTTCCCATCGTATTACAAGTACCTTGGTATCTAATACGGACCAAGCTTGCGCACAAGCTTTCGTAGGCATAGTGCCGTACTAGATGTCTGTAGATTGGTATCATGACGATGTCGAATGCAATGCGTGTATTGCTCTCCTAAATTCGGAAATAATTGGGCGTTAGCAGTTTCATTTCGTCAGTTTTCAAAGTCAGTGTAATTCGCAGTCGCGTAATCAGTGTATCAAGTCATTTGGGTGGCTGTGTTGTTTTTTCTATAGTGTTGCTTTGTTGGGAGTTGTTGTTGGTATTTCTTATCGTCACAATGGCAAGTAAAAAGCGCAAACTTGACTCGTGAAAGAATGTCGTGTTTTAAATTATGAGTGGACTTGGATTCACGACTATTAAGGATCAACCTGTGTGCTTTATTTGCAATGATGTAGCTTATTTTAAAGCCCTTACCACACTTCATTTCAAAACATAACGGAGGCAAAAAGCAGGAGCTCTATGTAAAAATCTATCAGATCAGCAAAATATTAAAAAAAAACATAAATGTTCTTATGATCTAGCTACAAGTGTCAGTTACTTTGTAGCATACAATACTGCAAAAAGAACAAAACTTGTGACAGTTTGTGTCCTAAAAAAAGATTTTGAGTCAGTAAGTTTGTTTCGGAAAACAATCTCTTCTATAATTGAAATAATATAAGCAGATTGTCTTAAGTTCAGAACTTGCCTTTGACCAGTAGTTGCAACATTACTACCGAATGGAGCAGCGATTCTGCTATAGACATGAAACATGTGCTTGACGTTCTTTTTAAGCTTTTTAATAGTATTCATTCACAAGCGCTTAATCATAGACAATTTCAACAGTTTTTTGACTATTGCAGTCTGAATATTCTTATGTACTATACTACACCAAAGTAAAATGGTTAGATTGGTAAAAATCAGATTGGAGTCATTTTTCAAAACTATTGTAGTTAGGGAAAACAAATTTAAGAGCTCGGATAAAAGCGGGAAATGTCTTCATGAAGAATTTGAACGAGAATTCCAAAATTTTAAAGTTATCGAATAGGAGCTAAACATGTTTTTCAACACGTAAATGCCATCCACAAGAGAATTTAATTCACACGAATTAAAATCCATCAATAAACCTCCTTTCCTTCCCAAGGATTCTCTGGGAATTACAAGATCTTTTCGGCTAACTGAAACTTGTTTCAATAAAGTACATCCTTAGGCAAAATGACTACAAATACAACACCCTAAAAAAGCAGAACAACAGCGACGAAAGAGAGCCTATAGACATGAAGTCAACAGGTTTCCTAGCATACATCAAGAAAAATAAACATAACTGGACGAGACTTATAATGCAATAAATACAATATAACAACTGCATATCCAAGCACTATAAATAATTGGATCGACGATATGAAATGCAAATGACACATTTCTATTAGAAAATACAGGATCATACGTTATGCACTTCGCCAAATTGGTCAAAAATATATAGGACAAACTAACCGACCAATTTCCCGTAGATTAGACGATCACAAACTAAATCTGAGGAATAAACAGATATCTTCATCTTATTCGCACGTTCTACACTACAAAACAAAAACAATAAGAGAAATCATAGAGAATAGAAGCATAACATGACCTCGAAAAAGAAATTTTTGTATCCAAAATTTTGTAGTTTTGCAAAATGTCGGTAAAACATGTGAGCTCATTACTTCAATTCATTTTAATATAATACGAATCTCGTAGGTTTCTTTTCACCTTTACGAATAGTAGCTAACGCATACTTAACGCAAAAATTATATCAACTGATTTTTAATATTTTAATTAAAGTTTAGTTCATAAAATTACTTTTAGAAGAGTTATAGCTAGTGGCGCTTTTAGGTCATCAGTTATCTATCAGTTTTTAAATTTTTGGTAGTCATATATATATATATATATAATATATATATATATATTTATAATATATATCTGTATTTTTCCATTATCATTAGGTCATCGAAATCTTAAATTCGCGCTTTTGGATTGGTCCTTCGAGCCGATTAATGAGCCATAGGTCAAATAAAATCACTTCTTCAATTCATAGTCGCTTGCAATTTTTGAAATATTGTGACTTAGTTATGAAATTATATTTATTAAGCTACGAGTTCGATTCTCAGCGTCAACAATGGTATTTTTCATCTCTAAAAATTATACCGCGCCGCCTCTGTATTTTGGAGGGTACGTAAAGCTATCGGTCCGAAAGGATCTCCCGGCAAAACTTCCATACGATATTGGTTACAAATAAAGCTTCATAACTATCTGCGATTTTTCCATCAAAATTATATCACCGAAGAACATCATTCTTTAATCTAGTCCTTTAACAAATAGTTTC